TATGGAGTAGTAAAATCTTTGTATTCATGCTTGTTTTTACTTTTGCACTTTTAAATGAGTAAAAATGTACCTTTGTAGATAATGTACATTGTGTATAATGTTTTGTAAATAATGTTAAGGATAATGTACTTTTAAACAGTTCTTTATAGATAAGGCGGTACAGAGCCTCGTTTCATTTCAAGAGAATTAAGTATTTGCCTTAACTTACAGAGATGCAAACTTGCTCCTCTCTCTAAACACATATTTTCTAATGACAAAGAAATTTAAGTTATTCAATTCCTAACTATTAGTTCATACTCTCTTCCTATATCTTGTTCAAATGTTCAGTTGTTCATAAAATACTTTTTATTCACTCACTCAAGTTCAAATAATTTATTCAAGTTCAAATAAATTTTTTTAAAACTTGTGACACTTGATGTTAATACAGTTTTTTTCAAATATTAATTCAATCATTAAATTTAATCAATTAATTTCAATTTAATATGAGAGAGAAAAATTTTAATTATTTTATAAAAAGTAACTAAAATGAAATTTTTCTTCGTTAACCTAAGTAGGAATTTTATATTATTGTTTTTAGTTCAGTATGATTCATTTTAACATATTTTTCCACCTCTACATATGAAGAATTCAAAGCATCATATGAAATGCAACTTTATTGCAGATATCTCACAGTGAAACTTATCTACAAGTTGTACTATTTCATTCGATACCAATTTACTTAAAATTTGGCAGAAAGCGGCATCCCCTATAGTTATTGCACAAATGGGAAAAAGGTCTCCACTGGATTTCGCTAAATATTTTCCTAGTGGTAGCCTATTAATATTTTAATAAAATAATTCTGTCCACCACCTCATGTAAATAATTTAAGTAGATGTATAACAGAATTGCTACCTCCTAAGGAAAAAAAAAACTAATCTTGAGATATTCTCTAGATTAGTGGTTACCAACTGGCGGCCCACGAAGCCTTTTTCGGCGGCGCGCGATCTAAAATATATTAGTTGTCATTTTTTTGTCGACAATTTTTGTAAAAATTCTATATGGGTTTTAAATACTTTTAAGTTTTATATCTTAATTTGATATCTGTTAACAGTTTGATATCATTAATTGTTTAATACATAGGTGCACATTAAAGTTATTGTAGCCAGAATTTTTTAATATGCAATTAAATATATTTAAAAATCTACTTCTTATTTTAATTTGTAATTCAATACTTTTGTTTTGTACAACTTGATAAGAAACCTACAGTAATATTTAATGTTCCGTCAAACGTAAAAGTGTCCTATATGAAATTCTGATAAAGTTGCGGCCCCGCCATTTGAATGGTGTTTTTAATTGTGGCCCTCAGCCTCATGTAAGTTGGAAACCCCTGCCCAAGGTACTAAAAAATTTTTTCATTTGAGAATTACAAAATTGTTTAGAATTGATGTTTTTGCTGTGACATAACTAAGCCATATTGGTTGTAATCGACATAATGCACTACTAATCCGCACCACATTTATTTCAAATTTGTTAGTGGTTAATATAATTGACAAAGAATTGTCCTGTTTTTAATAAATATAAAATAATGTAGCTTTGTGGGTGGGGAAAGGAGTTTCGATGATCTTTACGTTCCTTTACCTGTCCAAGGTACCACAAAATTGAATCGAGTTAACATGTCTTATATATTGATGTTCAATAATCGTACTGGTAGTCAAGCCACAGTTTTTTTTCTTCTTTTTACCCTGATTATGCTCAGTCTGATAATGCGGCATACATTTTTCATTATCTTCAACTAATCATCGCCATTTTCTCTTATAAGAAGCAGTCCTGCCATATAAGTCTAAGTATATAATCTGGGTTTTATACTCTTATCTATAACATCGGTACCCATTTTCTTATTAGGCTATTGAAACCTATGCCTAGAGTCTGTTTAGGTTTTCATGAGAGGTACCTATTTTGTGAAAATTTAGATATAATTTGTGAAAGTTAAAAGTTACATTAAAAAATCAACAAAAAAATATGGTAAATTTTTATATGTATTTTCCCCATATATTCAAAAGTAAGTTTGCTAATATAAAATTTTGGGCTTAAAATTGTATCCAAATTTAAAAATCCATAAAAATCATAGTTCATTGTTCAATTTCAACTCGAACTTTAAAAAAAAACAACATGCATTTAACAGTACTTGCACTAAAAGTTATTTTCATTATGAGAACATTTCCCACGAAGTCATATTGAAAAAAGCTTCACAGAGAAAAAAATTTTTCATAAAAAATAATGGCCTGTTAGAATAAATTTAGAATAATGTTTGAATGTTTAGAATAATGTTAGAATTCTAACTTCCTGTAAAGTTTACAGAGGGTGCTCGTCGGCAGTTTAATTTTTAAAAAAAACTCTGCGAAAAAAGAAAAAAACTTGCTATAATGTGGTGAAAGCGACCGCTTATTCTTACCACACCCCACTATCTGACCAAGCACGTGCTACCTATTCGTATATGCTGGATTTATCATTTCTTACGGGGGATACAAGAACAAAATTTTAAGAGGCGGGGCGAAGAATCTTCGAATTTGCTTTTTTAAAAGTATTTCGTGAACCTACCGCTTTTCCTAAAGTTGAATTTGTGAAAGTACCGCTAAACGTTAGTAAATTTGCCCTGAACAAACCCCTGCGTGTCTGATTGCATTTATTTTATCAGAACTCTGACTTTATATGCTAAGTTCATTAGTAATCGTTAACATATTAAAGAAATACTACTCATTATTGTGAAAATATTTCATGTGCAAAATGAATTTTTTTTAATTTGTTATCAAATAACACTTTTAAAATGAGATTTTATGCCAGGTAATTTAATTTACAGAGCTGGAGCAGCATCTTGTCTCTTCATTGCTTTTTTCTCTCTCGAGATCTTTATTTTATAAGCTTGCGCTTTGAGATAATCAAAAATAACAAAGAGAGAGAGAGAGAGAAATTATATGTTATTATATCGTAACTTTCATACTGAAATTTGAACTGTCAAAATTCTCTTTAACAGGTAAAATTACTTTTTATTTATTTATTCATATTGAGCAAGACAATTCTTATAATATTTTGATTTTTTGTTGTTGCAAAAACTAAGTATTGTTTTTTCGAATACAGGTGAATTACCCATTTTGTTACGTTTAATAAAATGTTTTTACATATAACTAAAATAGTTGTGTATTCTGTGAACAAAATGTTCCTTGTTTTTGTGGAAAATGTCGTCGTTCAGGGAAAAAAAGAAAAAAAAAACAATGATGAATAAAAAGCGGAGTTGCAGAATAGAGTGAGCAGGGGCTTAGTTTTTAAAATTTGTTGATGAATTGTAGTTCATTTTTTTGATGAATTCTCTTCTAATTTTTCAAAAAAATTTTACATACTTTCATAATTTTTTTTAATCTTTTTGATGGATTCTACTTTTTTTTTTAAAAATAAAGTTTGTAAAAGAATACTCAAACAAACATTTTTGTTTTAAGCTGCTTTATAACAGGTTTTGTGATTTTCGCACATATAGTTAAAACATCTTACTGGGTAAATTATTCTTGCAAACTTGCAGATGAAATCAGGAAAAAGTATTTAAAAAATAAAGAAAGAAAGAAAAAGGAAGAACATAAGAATATTGTTCTTAGATGATTTTCAAAAGAAAGCATTATAAAAATTATGCTAATAAAAAAAATTACAGAAAATATGAAACAAATTGAAACTGGGAAAATGAAACCAGAAAGGAAATAAAATTAGTTTTTTCCCCTATATTATAATAAAAAAACTAAAACACGAGACGCTAATTTCTAAAGAAGAATTTAAACGTGTAAAAATATTTCATAAAATAATTTCGAAACATAATGATATCATTATATGATTTTATAAAAAAAAATTTAATTTCTTAATATAATTATACTTTATTTTAATGACATAAAATATTTTAAAAGTACAAATATTTAAAAAAAACTGATTCTTACGAGAATTTTAAAATTTCACAATCATTTTGGAAAGTTAAAAATTCTCCAACTTTTCTGTGAAATAGTACAAGGTAATTTAATTATTTAATTTTTTATTTCTTTAATGTCATTTTTTTTTTTAATGAAAGAAGGCATTTTTGGAAAACAAATATTTTGCTATATGTTGTAAATTTAGCAAAACTTGAACTTTAACGGTAACGCATATTTTTTTTAAATATATGAGAATGCATGGTCTAATATTTTAACATTAGAATACGAATGCTTTAATTGCAAATATAAAAAGCATTTTTCGGTGTTAAAANGAGTACAAGGCAATTTGAAAATTAAATTTTTTATTTCTTTAATGTCATTTTTTTTTTAATGAAAGAAGGCATTTTTGGAAAACAAATATTTTGCTATATGTTGTAAATTTAGCAAAACTTGAACTTTAACGGTAACGCATATTTTTTTTAAATATATGAGAATGCATGGTCTAATATTTTAACATAAGAATACGAATGCTTTAATAGCAAATATAAAAAGCATTTTTCTGTGTTGAAAAGTTAAAGATTTTTGTATTGCAAGTTGTTGGTGTTATTCGATTACTTCTATAATATGTTTTATAAATGATATAAAATATTTTTAAAACTATTAAAATTGATTGTGAATAAGAAACTCAGTTTTCGATTTTCGACATTGTTTTTTGATGTTTAACTTTTTGTGTGGAATAAAACAAGGTGTTTTAGAGCATTTTTCAAATTTAAAAAAAAAAGAAGAAAAAAATACCTGTTCTGCAATGCAAAATTCGAAAGTCTATCTTTATATGAATAAAAATTTTGCATTTGAACATGGGTGGGAGATTCAATTATGAAATTTTTAAAAAAAAATTATTTTTAAGCATTTTATATTTTGTGTTGTGTGTGTTCGAATGTTTTGGAGTAAAATGTTCTTATCCTTTCTCGTAAGCAGACGACAGAACAAAAGGCGATTCAGTAGGACAGTGGGCGAAGGCGGCGTGTTGGGGCGCAAGACAGAAAGAAAGAAAAAAAAGAATAAAAGAAAACTCACCTTCCTGTAAACGATGTGATTAGGATTATCGTCACATCCGGGCGCTTGCCCGTTACCGGAATCGCCTTTCCTTCTGTAAGCCATTCAGAGGGCGACCCTCTGGAATTCCATATTTTCCTCCCTCTAAACGGGAGAAAAAGTGGAATGTATTTTTACCGCAGACGATGATCAAACCTAGCCTGATGCTGGGGCTCTACAGCTCGCAGTGCAGTTGCTGCAAGATCAGAGACGGCGCACCAATGTTTAGCGCCCCCCCCGCCATCTGCTGGCAGAAACGGAAATTACATAAGGAAGGTGATTAAAGACGTTGATTTTGGATTTAATAGAATAAAAAACGGGAAGAAATATTTAATTTTTGCCAAACGATGAATAATGTTTTAATTCTTATTTTTAATGACGTTTTTTTTTTTCGTCAGCCATTTTCTTCATTTGCTTCTCATTTTTCATTTTGATTTTATGTAAATTATATAATATGAATTATAAATTTAAAAATTTGAATCATAAATTTAAAAAATAAATATGAATCATAAAAAAAAATAACATTTCGAATGAAGAAAACGCAGACTAAAAAGAAATTGCTTCTTAATTAAAAACTCTGCTTTCGTTTTTGCATTTAGAAATATTTTAAGATGAACTTTCAAGTTATGCAAAAATTACATTGAACTCAGAAGTGTTATCTCGCTTGATGACTTTTTTAAGCAACCCGCATCAACAGTTTTTAAATCGAAATAATTAAAACATTTTGAAATGAGTGAAAGGCACTGGTTTAAACTGTCGAACACCGTTTGCTGTATTTTGGGTTTCAACACTATTCTCTGGGGTAGCCTTACAAGCCTGATAATTGGACGGATAGGGGAGCCGAGAACTTATATTTTTGGGAGAGAAAATTTCCCTTTTTCGGAATAAAATTCCTGTTTTGACCGAATCTTAAACTAGCGCCTTCAATTATTCTTACATTTTAAAAAAAAGGGAACGTTAAAAGCGACACTAAAAAATTCTTCTTGGTGATGCAGCTAAAAGTTATAAATGATATAGTAGAGCCGCGATGGCTCAGGGGATAGAGTGTTCGCCTTCCAATGAGCTGAACCAGGTTCGATTCCCAGCGATGGCTGGCTGTTTACGAATTCCGCACCCAGCTCGCACCGACCACAGTTCTGACGTAAAATATCCTCAATGGTAGACGAATCATGGGTTAGAGTCCTCTTGCTGTCAGGCTAACCGTGGGGCGTTCTCGTGGTCTTCCTCTCCATATAACGCAAATTCGGCTTGGTTGTATAAAAAAGCCCCCCCCCCCACGAAGGCAAATTTCTCCCAATATTTGATCCAGGAGTTTCTTTGTCTTCTGGGTTGGGTCCCAAAATTATAAGGGTACGGACTTGAATATTAGTAGTCATAAACCCAAAATTTGGGTCGGTTGTTCAATACGGTTATAAAATAAAATATATATCGCAGATAAATATTAATATCAAGTCCTCTAATTAAAATATTTATTTTTTTTAATGAAAGGGGAAGATTTTGTTTTGTACAAAAGACGCAAAAAAATAAATATTTTTGTCAATCTTTCGTTTTATATAAGAAATAAGAAAAATTGAATAACTCCGAAACGAATTGGAAATTTCAATCATGAGACGTTTAAAATATTAAGTTACTTCACAACTAATTTGAACTTTAAAAGAAATGAGACGAATTACATTCTCGTACAATCATAAGTTTCTAAAAAATCATAATTCTCCCGCTAATAGTTTCAGTTGAAATGAATTACGGGACGCAAAACAGAAATCTTCACATTTAATGTAAAATAATTCAAAAAATAATAACCACTTTATAAACATTTTTTAATATATGAATGTTCTTCAATCAGTTCTAGAAAAATGCGAAATATCTTATATCGTTTCACGCAATAGTTTTTGAGTTGTATCAGTGAGAGGCACAATAATTTTCTGAAACGATGGCAACAGCGACAATAACTATTTTTTTTAAATTGAAAAATAATCGAAGTACTGATAAACATTAAATGTGAGTTAAACATTTAATATTGCATTGTTTATGCAGTCTTTCAATCGTCGAAATATTTTTATGTATTTAAAATTTAATATACGTTTTTTTCAGTATGTAATTGAATTGATAATTATTTTTCAACTTCATGCAATATTATTAACCAAACTGTAAATTTATCTATTCATTGTTACACTTTTTTCAATTCCAACTATTAGTTCACGCTTTCCCTATTATCTTGTTCAAATTTTTAATCGTTAATAAAATACTTTTTATTCATCCTCTCAAATTCAAATATATTTTTTGAAACTTGACACTTGATGTTTATACTGTTTTTTCACATATTAATTCATTGATTAAATAGGGATCAGCAAAAAACGAAATAGAATTTTCTGATGGTTTAAAGCAGGGATGTGCAAACTTTTTTGGTCGAGGGCAAAAAATCGGGAAAAAAAGAAGTTTGGTGGGCCAGGTAAAAACGTCTAAAATGAAAAAAAGAAAAATATACAAGTTTTAATTTACATATTTAATGAGATGAATGAAATTGTGACTTCATTTTTAAAAGTTCCTTATATTGAGGTTCGAAGTGAGATGTACTTATTTTAAGGAACGAGGATAAATGTTTGTCTATTAGTCTACTTCTGAAATGATTTTTTCTAAGCTTCATCGCAAACACTTGTTCACATATATAAGATGAAGCATACATAACACTGATTTTCTGGGCACTAAATATTAAATTTGGGAAACGAGCTTTTGGTAATGATTTGTAAAACTCAAACTGTGGTAAACTTATATACAACTACGTGGAGCATCGTTTATACGACGATCACTTATACGACGTTTACATTTATACGACGTTTTAGTGTGGTCCCAAATCATTCCTATTCATTTTAATGTAAAAATATATCGTTTATACGACGCACAGAATCGGTTATATAGTATACTTTAA